GTCATTTGATATCTTTCAGCTTGTTTTTATAAGAGACTCCTGTAGTTTCATGTAACCAGTTTTTTTCAGAGTTCAGGTTTACTGTGGTGGATTAGGTATTCATGTAAACTCTCTGGGCCCTAGGCAACAGATGCAAATATGATTTGAAACAGTATACTGACCTGCATCATCAGCTAAAAGATGATAGTTCTACTATCAGAATCATCTTTGTTGTGCTTTGGATATGATCTTGTGCCTTATTTTGAGGTAAACTTTCTCATATGTTGGAAAAATGATAAAAATCAGGATGGCTCTTCATCGTCATGTTTCTGGTGAATACAATTATGTTTCTGTTTTCTGCAAGTCATTTTGATCTTAAGTTACGATCTGTTACGACATTACCTAACAACGGAACAATGAGCATGATAATTAAAAAGCACTTTCCCATGAAAGTTCCTTTCAATTTATTAGTTTATTTTTTTAGGTCTCGGCTTCTTTGTAGTTGTTACACGCCTTGCATGACGTCTTGAAATCTATCTGGATGTTGCCATGCCTCAAAGTCACAATTGATCTAAGAGCAATCATCCACCAATGTGGTTTTGGCAAGCTTAACCATAATGAAGTGACACAAAGGTCTCTTTCAATAGCTTCATAACATTTATTTGGTGATAATGAAATCTCAAGTCAAAGAGATTAAATATCTCCCAGATTAACTTTAAAGCAAATCCAGATTCAGCTGACTTTAGGATTTGAAACGGGAATATAACTGTGCAGGATTTCTGCCTTGTTTTGTGATTCTTGGGGCTGAATCTGGCCTGATGAAATGTGTGTAAATGCTCATATAACAACCAAACCACAAACTGCACCTCACCGAGTATGTCAATATGAGCTGATTGGATCATCCCTCTCATTTTGAACCCACTCTGTGTCACCCTGCCCATCTTCCCCAGCTGCTGCTCCAAGCCCAGGTGCTGCTGCGCTGACTAACTCATGGATCACAATCAGCCCCCTCGTTCAACCCGGCAACATCCCTGTCAGTCTCTTCTGTCTCCCCAGGGCTCAGTCTGATCCCATTCCAGCCATCACACTGACTACAGCTGCCCCTGGCGCCACACTGGAATTGGATGGTCTGATGACTAGTGCGAATAGTCGATAACTGCCGCCGCTATGTGCACAAGACAATGAAACTTACATCCCTGGATATCATCCTGTGGTAGCAGCGTACGGTTGGTTTTGCAAACGTGTCGATAGATTAGGAAAAGATGCTAACAAGATACTGAAGCAGTTCATTTGGGAGAGTCTTTATCATAATGCTCTAATGCCCTTCAAATAGGGAGGATGAGCTTTTGTGCAGCAGGCCTCGACACCAATGGGTTAACTAATGATGGCATTAGTGTGTGTGTGGGTGTGTGAATGAGTGTCCCTGCGTGCACGTGTGCCTTTGCACGTTAGTGTCTGCATGCTATCATGTGTGTGTATATGTGTGTATGTGCCTTTCACAGGTGATCAGTCAAGGCTATCCACTCAGCCCTTCTCTTGCAGCCCCCTCATTACAGCCCACTATCTCCTCTAAACACCTGCAGCCCCACAGCCCACCTTCAGCTCCCGGGCCCACACGCTGCCTCTTTTTGTCCCAGTGTAGAAAGAGCCTGCCCATCACATCAATCTACTGCACTGTTTATATTTATGTACAGGAGAGAGGCTAAAAAAGGCCCCTCTTACTGTGGGCTTTATTGACTAAGCATTAAGCGGACATTATCAGGCGATAGCCTAGTTATTTATGAGGCGGTGATAAAGGCTGCAGGACTGAGTTATGTGAGAACCAGGAGCAGGATGAAAGCTGCTCATACAGCAGCACTGATACCCGACACTTGCCTCTCTCTGTCTGGGTAGAGAGGCTCGGCAAATGCGCCAAACGGAGCTGAAACACTCAAGGATTTATGGGCGGTAAATTTATGCTCTCCATAGGTCAAACGAGGGGCTGTTTATCTGGGTTTCATTGTCACTGTCCTCGTGGCATGCGCCGCAGGTACTGAAATTTTCATATTTGCCTTAGGCATGTAGCCATAGGAGGAGGGGGCGGTGGATCTCTAGGAGCGGTATTCCATTGACCTTCTGAACTTAGTTTTGAATTTTCAGAGCAACACGGCACGGCGCTCCTGCTTTTGACATGTTGACATAAATTATGCATGACAGAATACACTCCTCCTTAATGTTGAATACTTGTGTATTCCAGTGGTATGCAGTAACCTTGCACAAGAGGTCTGTGGCTATCTTTGACCTTAAGTGGGAGGGATGCACGTCTCTGTGTTTCCTGACTGACATTTTATAGCTACATACCACGAGTACATGCATACTTTGATTTAGTTCAGTAGTATAGAGGCTGAAGCACCTTTGGTCTGTCTCTCCCGAACTGCACACACAACTGAGGTTCTCGCTCACACTTTTGTAGCTCACATGAATCTCAAACACATACTGTCAACCAAATTTCTAACATACACACATCCTCACCTTTGTATACTGTACATAGCACCATCTTACCCAGCCAAAGCCATCTTTCTCCTCAATAAACCAGGTCAACAAACAAAAAGCAATTATGTTGGGCAGCTGCCGCCTGGGAGTGGGTAATTACAGTGCGGTGTGGACAGCTTCATTCTAAACAGGTACTAAAAGCATCATTAATCATCCTCCCTCTGACGCCTCGCCCTGGTCATGTGACTCAGGCTGCTGATGAGCTGGGGAGGGGGATCCGCCTTAGGGGGGAAGGAGCAAGTCCTGATTGGCTCCTTCCAGAAGTCCTTTTAGAGGTCAGCCAGTCAGCAGTGATGACCTGCCAATGACCTTGTATCACTTGACCCCTGAGGGCCCAAGGGTCACTCTCTCATATCAGTTGGAGAGCAGGCTGCGGAGAGGCAGGAGGGAAGACGAATGACACGGAAAGAGGAAAGAAGAGGAGAAGAATGGCGCGAGGGAAGCGGGAAGGCACACAGAAGGTTTGTGCGGAGAAGCACTGGGAGGGGTGGAGATGAAAAATAAAACAGTAGGCGTGAGGTTTGATTGAGCACCTGGTCTTCCCCTTTTGCATAAAATGGCTGATGAAAAAAATGTGTTTTTATAGCAGCAAGGCCAGTCCTGATGGCCGCTTCATCCACACCCCCCCCCCCCCCTCCCTCCCTTCCTCTCACTCTCCTCTCCTTTCCCTCTCTCCTTTTTCTCCCTGTCCATTGTCAAGCTGTCCTCAGGTTGGCTAAAAGGTTGATTACATCATCTGAATCTAATTAGCGAGGAGCAAAAACATCTGTATGTTTGTTTTGCTAATGTTGATTGGTCCTTAGTGTAAACAACAAAAATGGCCAGAGATTGCAAAATGTGAACGCAGCCTTCTAAATCAATTTAATAATACACATTTCCACTGAACTATTTGCCTATGGCACCCCTGCACATACTGTGTTTTTTGGGCTGTGAAGCCGCCACGAGAATCAATCCTCTCCCTGATGAAATATAGCCAAGATGGCGCCTGACAGAGACTTGATTGAGAAAAGTTCATGAACTGTTCCCTCACTGAGCACAGACTGACACGGATGGCTGATTGACGGATGAAACACAAAGACACATCTGAAAGACAGAGCGCCAACGTCCTCAAACCGGTACCCATCCCCTTCTCCTCTGCCCCCCCCACACACACACACACTCCCCCTCCGCCTCACCCCTGCAGCTCCACCCCTTCAACTCGACTCCCCTTCTCCTCTCTCCATATGTCTGTGAATCTGTCTCTATGGCAACCTCGCCCCAGGGGCAGAGGAGGAGGGGGTTGCCTTCGTTCAGACAAATAAGCATCGCAGGGCTCATTTATGATGGTTTGTTTAGGGATTATAATACATTGATGAGAGGTCAAAATGTATGTGTACCCGTGCACATGTTAGAGACATAAGAGTGTATGTGTATGTTTGAGGCTTTCCAGAAGACTTTGTGCAACATATGGAGCGAGGCTGCACAATTTGGAAGGAAAAAAGAATAAAAAACATCTATTATTTAAGTCTTTTCATTTCATACATTTAAGTTTCATGACATGTAAATGAAATAAAATCTTGCCAGACAGAAGAGGAAATTTATAAAGTAATATAAAAAACTAAAGAGAGCACATGCAGCATGTTGCCATTAAATCAGTGGATTATATCAATGGCATCATTAGCATTGCTGGTCCTAGGTTATAGCTGATGTCTCAGATGCAGTATCAGCAAACTCAAAAGGCTCATTTCATGGTTTCCTCCTTTTTTCCCTTCACTTTATGCTTGTCTGCAACTTTTGAAAGGGCAATCCAAACTAGTGAGTAAACAGAGTTGCATGCGAGAGGTCAGAGCCTCCACACAATCAGATATGCAGAGGGGCCACCTTGGTTGATTCTACCGATGCTGCACGGGGGAAATCCTGTACGCACTGTACAAGATGCTGCTCCAACACAGAGCTCCGGATGTCTCGGGAAAAAGGGGAATTTTCCTATGCAAGCGACTTACAACCTTGACACAGTTTCACCTCTGCGTGCACCCCTTCTCACTCTTATCCCCCCTCTCCTCCCATCCTCATGATACCTTACATTGACTCAAAGGCCTATCCCCCCCCTCTCCTCATCCTCTCCCCCCTCTTTCAAGAGCAAATTTCCCTTTGCAGCCAGAAGTGCTGAGTGCTGCTGTTTGCTTTGTACACAGAAATTCGCTGAGGCTGTAAGCTGTCCCCAAACATCTGCTCCCTGGAGTGGAGCAGGAGAGGAGAGGCAAGGACTGGATTGGTGTGCGTGTTGTTCGGTGTAGCTCTGTCACAATGTGTTATGTATGGATTTGTGTGTGTATGTGTGTGTGTGTGTGTGTTTGCATGCGCGTGTGAGTGAACAATTATTCAAATAGGTGCTTTGTATCTTTTTGAGCGCTTTATTAGTAGCACCTCGGAAACAAAACACATATTTGTGTAATTGTACACAGGGCACCCGAATATGCACAGGCACACACACACACACACACACAAACAGGTGCACTTCATTTCAACTTTCTTGATGCACAAATTGTTTGGTAGTCAAATATGTGAATGAGCCCAATCAAAAAGACTAATAGTGCATGAAAGTCTTTGCAAATAAAGAAAAACAGTAAAATCAGACGAGCAGAAAAACTAAAAGGGAGGAGAGCATTCAAATGATCTGTAATTACAACAACTGAGCTATCTATAAGTGCTTCACGTAGAGTTAGAAAGAGCTTAACTTGATCAATTGATTTAGTTCCCCTGAGCACCGGTGAGGATATTACATGCATATTATGCATTAAGTTAATTTTAGGTCAACTTAGCATTAATTACAATGAGCTCAGAAGGAACACACTTATATGTGTTAATTTAAAATGTAGTGTAAGATATGCTGTACGCCGCATATGTTCTCTCATTGCTCATGCCACGCAGCGCTCCTCGGGAGGATGGTAACAGCTGCCCACATCAGCTAACTTGCAATAGACGACAATACAAAAGATGGTCAATAGCCTCATTCATGATTAACTAATACATGTTTTACTTTGATATCTCAATTGGAGTGTTTTATCAGAGAAATGTAACAGGTAACTTCACTTTTACAAATAATGCTTGAGCTATTGTGCTTCATTATAAATATCTCATTGATTTAAATGAATTTTGGAATGAATTTCATTACGAGAAATTATTACCGCGCAGGACGGGAAAAGAAAAATAAAGCTGGGGGAAAATTCCAACTTGTTCAATGTCACCACTGTTACCACCAGTGGCAGTAATACATTTTGAGGTGAGTTATTCTGGTTTTATTTTTCCTCCATTTACCATGTGTTTGCTTGTGTATAAGTGCAGCACAGCTGTCAGTCTCGTGAGCCAGCCGTACATCTTCAGGAAGGAATTACAGAAGAGCACAAATTCATCAGAGAAGAGTCACACTCAAATGGTTTCGAACTAAATGTCAGGTCTGAACAAACAATGCGGTTTGCCTTTCATCAATTGAGAGGCAAATGCTGGAGCTGCCATGGAATGAAATTAAAGTGATAGTTCACCCAAAATAAATCAACTCGCCTTTTCACCTTCACCTCATCCCTATAACTCACATTAAGTTTTTTTTCCCGCTCCGCACATTTTAAATCGTTGTGTATTTCTAAGTGAATCTATTACACAGTAGAGCTGTGATGAAGTTGGATTAAAAAAGAAAAGTCTGAACGCACACCTGCAGCAAACATCCTCGGTGCACATTACAATCTGTAACTTGAAGCCCTGTGGCAAGGAAACATATTTGTACAATATGATGAAAGAGTTTCTAATAAGGTCAACCTTACAGACTTCTCAGAAGGAACAGTCAAGGGCATGGGTTTTGTTTCAACATTTTTGGGGAGACACAAATGAAACGTGAGGTTTAAGAATGTTGAGCATCAAACACTTAATTTCCTGCATTCTGGTGAATTTATATGCAACGATTTGTAGCTTTTCAGCATCAATTTATTATGAAAATGTCTTTAATTGTGTCAAAATAAAAGTCCTCTGCTATTTTAATGTTTATATTGGGGACAAATGCACATGTCCTCTAAATATTGAGGGGGACAGATAAATAAACATTGAAAGGGAGGCATGTTCTCTGCCCCCCAAAACCCACACCTATAGCAACAGTAAACATGACGTACAATTTTTATAGTCAAAACCTTTATCATCACATTGTTTCATCATCATCACCCTCATCATCATCCTCATAACCTTCACAAGTGCACACTTATTTGCATGACAAAAAGACGGACACATTAATGGTTTTGTTAAGCATTCCACTTTGTGCTATTTTGTTTAGAGAAAGGCGACCCTAATGGTGCGTATTTTGTTTAAATGCAAATTCAAAATAAATTGGACTCGACACATTTTTAGTCCAGCTTGCATGTAAAATCATCGGCATCAATTACAAATAGAACTTTAAAATGTTTGCACTGTCACCAGCTCCTCCGCAGACCCTTAAGTTTTATTCCTCTCTGGCTTTCGGTTTATATTAACGACGCAAATATTCTAAAAGATATTGTTCGGAGGGGATTAATGTCCAAATTCTTCAAAAATTATTCAAGCAGATATGCATGAAATATATAATCAGCGAGCATGTTATGAATAGTTGCTCTAAATTTTGTTTATGCTGCCTCTGACATGGAATCATATTAAGTGTTCAAGTATGCTCAAGTAACTTTAATTTTTCAACTTTGCTATTAAAAATAGGTCTGTAGTTTATATCTAAAAAAAAAAAAGCTATTGGGTGAAAAGACTCTTTCATCCAGTTTATCAAGTGAGCCAGGGGCATATTTTTTGGCTTATTAAAATAAGAGATAGGGCAAAAATTAGGTTAGCTCTAAGGTGTGGAAAGAATGCATTATGTGGCCTGGTATGGAATTATAATATGAACAATTATCATATGGCCTAGTCGCCCCTCTGTTCAGCTGGATGAAATATTATTGTGTGGACACAGAGACCCAGCAGCACCAGAACAAAAGCGCTCAGAGTAGTTGGGAAAAGAAGAGAAAGCAAGAAAGAAAGAAAAAAGAAAGAAAGAGAGAAAGAGAAAGCTCAGACTTCGAGGTCACCCAAATTAATGGTGCATCTTTCTCAAAGTGAGCCGCTGACCCGGTCATCGTTGTCCCGAGGCAAGACAAAGGTCAAGAGGTGAGAGGTGAACTCCGGTGTGACTGCATACATTAGTTTGGCCTTGCAGCCTCCATGTCCACTCCACCCTGCAGAGGTGCAACTGTCTAACTATTACATTATTATTTTATTTATGCTCCCTCCAAATTCCAAAGAGGACACCTGTTAAAGGCGTACAACCTTTTCACCTAATTAATTATTTTGAATTCTAGCTTTCTTTATTTCTACGCGACGACACCCAGCTGCTTTCACTTTAATTCCTTTGTTGTCGTTAACACCCGCTCTGGATCCACTAACCTTCACATGCAGTGCAAACACCGCTAATTGAAAGCTAAACAAAAATATTCCCATACATAGAATTAAAGTGTCTGATGGCCTCATATCTCGATATTAGAATAGACATTAACATGACAGAAACGCATTGCGATAGCGGGAACATAACAGTGTTTAAGGGCCGAGTTTACAATCATTTACTTTATATGAGATGAGATGTGAATCTGGAAGGAATATTTAGCAGCTCGCGAGCTGCTGGGGCCACACAATTTATTGGTTGATCTGCAAAACAGCACAGACAGCGTTTTATTGTCTGCTCTCCCGCATGAGTGTTCAAGCTAAATTATCATTTTCTGATGCATGTATATAGAGGTAATAAAAGACGCAACAACTCCCGATCGTGATGTTTCTACATTCCATTAACATGCAGTTACAGATGCATGCAAATGCTCCCAGATTTGTGCCTCGGATAGATGGATCACCACGGATCAATACTCTTAATACGAGCGGTCAATAAATCCATCAGTCAATTATGGCATTTTAATCTTTCCGTGGAAGGAGGGATTATTGGGAAGCTTATAATCGGACAAAATAAAGCAGCGACATTAAAGCAGCATTAAAGCTCTGCTAAATTAGCCTGATAATTATCTGCTCACATGTTAAAGATTGGCTTTGTTTATAGCAGGTGACTTTTTTACTCAAGTGTGTCACAGACAAGGAATATAAAAAGAAATCTGCATGACTGTTTCAAAAGCAGGTTGAATAATTAGTAAAACGTGCTAAACATATCTGTGTCAATACAATAAATATTATCAAATATGAGCTTTAAATAAATACAAATTATTTTAAACACATTAGGAGGCACGTGCTCTGGTGAATAAATATATTCAAGTACTGGATAAATTGTACAAAATAAATAAACAAATTGTCTGCCACAGTTTCTATGGACAATTAATATAATTTTGTTTCTTCGTTTCCATTGTGTAGATAGGAGCGCGATGCACTGACTTGAATTTTAATATTCAAATCAGAGCGCCAGTCTGCAGCCGGGGGAGGATGACAAATTGTTTTGACCCGTTCTTGCATGAAGAAACTTGCCATTGCGCTTCTTGCGATAAGCATCCATCGTGGTAAGCAAATAAAGGTGAAGCCTGATTGAAACCGATGCAAACGGGAATCAAAACATCTGCAGGCAGGCAGGCAGGCGCCCTCGCCATCATGCAGCTCCCGCGGTTCAGGAGTTCAGGGGCAGGTGTTTTGGAGAGGTCGGTCCAGGAGAGGGGCAGGTGTCCAAAGTGTCCGCGTGTGAGTGCGCTGCCGCGGGGCCCGGCTCGGACAGCAGCCCGTCTCTCTGTAATTTCTTCTGCTTCATTCGCCTGTTCTGAAACCAAACTTTCACCTGCGTCTCGCTGAGCTGCAGGGCGCTGGCGACCTCCACCCGCCTGGCCCGCGTCAGGTACTTGTTGAAGTGGAACTCCTTCTCAAGCTCGGTCAGCTGCTTGGTGCTGAAGCTGGTCCTCGGGGCCCCGTTCACCGTGGGATGGCCATCCGTGCAGATGCTGCTGCTGCTGCTGCTGCTCCCAGTCTTCACAGCACCGAGGCCCGAGCCAACGATACTGAACCCACAGGTCATGTGCATCCTGGCTGGGAACAGAGGACATGAGAACAGTCGTCAGCAAGATCAATGAGGTTACCCACAAAAGAAGCACAAAATCCCTCTGAATAAAATTATCCACGCCCTGATCCAGGCAAATTATTCAGTTTAAACAGGAAAAAAAAACTTAAATAATAAACTTTGGTCATTTATATGTGGTAATAACTTATATAAATTATACTTATTATTACTATTACTTACTTATATAAATCCTCAGAAATTAAATAAAATATTTATTATAGCTCTGTCTGATGCTGCCCTGGTAATATATGTGATAATAAGGAATGTACCTTACATAAAAAAATAATTAAAAATAATTAACAGATATTTTAAGGTTTGTTTGAAACTGAGGAGTTAAACAAATATTCAAACATTTAATAAAATTATTTCAAAGACACTGATTTGCAGGGATTGTCCCCAAGCCACTTTGTTGATTTAAAGTCTGGGAGCCATTTTTCTGTCTGTATAACACAGACGTATTTCACCGTGGTATCATCTTTAGCAGTAGCTGAAAAATCTTTTGCTGCCGTCAAACAGGTGGATGTGGAATTATGTGTTATATTAACAGAAACACATGCACCGTCTTATGCAACCACATGCAACAACATCACAAACTAAAGCCTGAAATATGATCTGAAGATTTGAATCGACACCTCTGACTCTGTGAGATCTGAGCATTTCACATCTGTTCTGCAAAGGTGCTGCTTTTTAAAGTGAGTCCAAGACAAGTTCACCCAACAGTCGAGCGAAATGCGCCGCCGCGTGTTGGAGATGTGTGGGAAAAGTTGTCAGAGCAATGTTTGGGCGATTCAAAACAACTTTGTATCGTTTACAGTCCATTAACTGTATTCATCAGAATCATTAATAATTTGCCTTTAGGCCTTTCTGTGTCAATGACAGTTTAACAGTTTACAAATCCTTTCAAACACTGCATTAATGACAAATGTCTCCATTTTTTTCCTCTGAGGTTTCTGGGTCACACATTAAAGTATCATCTGTGCTACTTATGTGCAATGAATGACAGGAACTGCAGCTATATCTTGATTTTTCATTGCTGACATTGTGGGTAAGTCGTCAGTGTGTCTTTGCCTCTGAGAAAATGTGCTGCTGCTGCATAATGGAGTCAGTGTGCCAGGTGTAGAGCAATGCCTCCCACCACAATTCATAGGGAGGAAGGTTAACAGGCCTCTAGCCACTTGGAAAAGCATAGCAGATGGAAAGGTCAGTTATAGGATAAATGTCGACATCTGTGTTTTAAGAAAATGAATGTCAAGGTAACCGAGCCTGAGAATTAGAGGGCAGCGAACGTGAAGAACCAATACAGACGAACTGTACGTAATTAAGAACTTCAGCTTTCAGGAGTGCAAATCACATGCACATTCTGATTAATGGCTCCAAAGATAATAGAATTGATGCCGGCCAGAAGGCATAAAAGAATCAAACTAAATATTTGAGAAATGACTTGCATGCTTAAAAATAGCCAGCCAGCAAAGGGAATGGAAGGGGCCTTCCAAGCCAAGGAGAGGGAAGAAGAAAAGGGATAGATCGATACACATTGCCTCAGTCATCTGGGCATCCAGCCCACAGTAATTCAGGTGCTGTCAAAGCATAATTGAAGAATGACGCACTGGGAGTATATACACTGAGCCAAGAGATCAGGTTACTGCAGGTCTGTGGAGGCCTTTCAACATGGAAGAATACGCAAGACTTTGTTTTGTGCCAAAACCAATACAACCTCCAGAGGAAAGCATACTTTCACTAATGACTCTTTTACAAGTTACACAGTAGCGCTAATGAGTTACTCCTACAGATGATCCCCTTCAGAGAGATACAGAAAGAGGTTACAAAGATACTAACAGTACTGCGAGAAGATGTGTGTGCGTGGGCGGGTGTGAGCAAATGGCTTTCTCAAGTGCACGGATTTGGATCAGATGAGTGGCTAATGGCTTTTATGAATAAAATGACTCCTCGACCAGTGAAATGTGTTGCTGTCACCTTTTGCCTCCCTCACAGTGGCATCATCAGAGACATGTTTACCCACTCATCTCAGCTCTCAAGTTACTGCAAGTCAAACTGGAAATTGTAGTTTCCTGTTTGTTGCATGTTACAACATTGAAGCATTTATGATAAATCAAATGTGTTCACATTTTGTTGCTCTTACAGCAGCATCCTGAGAGAAATCTTTATCAAGGTATGTGAATGTATAAGTGTCAGTTTCGGGGGGCATGCAGAGGACACATCCTCCTCAGTATTTAGAACATGTGCATTTGTTTCCAGGTGTAGCTGTGATACAAGTTAGGTGTCCCTCTTCAGTTGCTCTTCCTGAGGTTTCTTCCATTTTTTTTGGGGGGGGGGGGGGGGTTCCTTATCTGCTGTGAGGGTCCAAAGGACAGAGGGATATCGAATGCTGTAACGTCCTCTGAAGCAAATTGTGCTTTATAAATGAAAATGAAATTGAAACTTGTTTCCCCCAATGAAAAACATTAAGGAAGCAGAGGACATTTATTGTGACTAAATTAAAGATATTTACAGCACGAGTTGAAGCAGAAAAGGCATAAATCTGTGCATAGAAATTCACCAGAATGTGGAAAATTGATGCCTAAAATTTCCTGGGGGAGGAATCCCAAAGTCCCAAATGTTGAAACGAAAGCTATGGCCTTGTGTCAGTGCACATCACCGCCACTAGGGATGGGAAAATACTCCAATTTATCACAGATCAAGATGAAAATACACTCACAATAAATCGATCGTGGTGAATTTCCATTATCGGAATAATCGTGAATAACGTGTCCCGCAGTGCCTAAAGAAACTGCTGGGAAACCAACAATAAATGAGGCTCTGCAAAAACAGGCTGCATGTGCACCAAACCCAAAAATCACAAAAGATCCTAATCAAGCATGTTTCATATTACAAGATACACTGCCAATTCAAACAGCTTAAAGGCCTGGCTTTTAAAGATTGTTTGTTTTTCACTAAAAAAAGATGAGTGTCCTATTTGTGATGCAATAAAAACATTTGTTTCATCACAAAATGTAAGATGATGTAATTCCAGTTCCATTTAAGAGTTTTAAGCATATATGTTGATGATTATGGGGATAATATGGGCGTGGGCTTTGTTTTAACATTGGTTCAATGGGGGGACATGCATGAAATGGGCATTTGGGGCCCTCCCCCGGAAAAGTTTAAGCATCAAACACTTAATTTCCTGCTTTCTGGTTGATTTACATGCACCGATTTTTGTCTTTTCTGCATCAATTTATGATGAAAATGTCTTTAATTTCATCAAAACTATAAAAAATACAAGTCCTTGGTTACTTTAATCTTTCTAATGGGGAAGACTAATGCATATGTTCTATATACTGAGGGGAATGTGTCCCCTGTGTCCCCCTGAAACCTACGTCTATGCAGGATAATACAGGGTATTGCAATTATTTTAGCCAGGACAATCAAGATGTGACATTTTCATATCCTCCCATGCCTATAGAGCCTTAACTTCTATGTTTTTTAGCAGTTTGTTTTTGCTGCGTTATATAAGATTAAAATATTCAGAGTCAAATCAAAGATATTGTTGTCATCTTAGGCCTCTTAACTCCTCCTGCGTTAATCTGAAATTATGTTTCACTATGCACATCATGGAGGAGCATGCAAGGAGAGTCAAAACTAAAAATTAGTTGTATTGATGTAAAAATTTGTGAACTCTGACTCCAGTATGCAGCAGTTCCAAAAATAGTGTGTTAAATCCGCATTATTGTACACACTAATGTGGATTTTGCAGCTGCTTTATGTTTGTTGCATCCCTTGCAGAGGAGCTTGGGCCTTTTCACCACAGACAGTCTGGTGGTAATGACCAACCTGCATCTTTGGTCGCTGAACATTTGGGTCAGCAGCACGCTTACAGCAGAAAGAGACTGTGCTGTGGGGGGAAAGAAAAAAGAAGACTGGGACCACCATTGTAGTAAATCTTCGTCCACGTAAAATTTATGAAACCCAACCCAAGTCCAGTGGCCAGTCACTCAACTGACATTATTGATCAAATGAAGGATCTATATAAGATACTATCACTCACATAAAATTGAGGATTGATAGGCATTTTTCACATTAGCAGGCTATCGGTATTTTTTTTTTTAAAGCCTGGGATATGTATTCTTCTGTGGGCTCTGTGCCCGGGACTCATCAGTCAGGGAAATGATGATCTGTGACAGCAATTATGTTAAAAAGGTGGACACATGTAAAGGTGCTGCAAACTGAAATCAATACACAAGGGCTTTCATTACAAACAGACAACTAATCAATACTCAGGGAGCACTCCAGCTTACAAGAGTAAGTTTTACTCAACTTCCTGTGAGTCTCGACAGGCAGTGGTCTGTTGCATTATTCAAAGGCTACTGGTTAGTAAGGGCAAGGGTAAATAATTGATCATTTTCCGCTTTGAATATACAGTGAGGCTAAGCAGGCCTTTGACTCTGCACCACCCTCCTTGTGTGTAGCTACAGTCTGAAGCCTGCTTGTAACAGTACGTGGAGCGACAATGGTAACAGACACTAACATGGGACCGTTAAGGAAATACTAACCGAGTCCTCATGTGCATATTCAAATGTGGCGTCGACTAAACAGCTACTGCTGCTTTACAAACATTTTTATCTGCTTTAAAAAGTGGGGAAATATTACAAAATGCTGCATAATTGTTGGTGACGGAGGATATTGTGCACGGTGACGCACAAAACACGTCAGCTATTTTTCTCTTTTTTTCCAGCGTGCAGAGAAAACTTCCACCAAACTTTCCCAACTATGAATGAAAGTTATCCAAAGCGCTAACATGAACTTATTTATCCAGAGTAAATATATCAAAGTTACTTTATCCCTCTTTTCGTGCCCAGTCTCCCCCCTGACAAAAAAAAACTTACCCGCCCGGTGCTGACTCCTCTTCACTTTCATCCACTCAAAAGTTTTACTGCTTACATCCATTTGAGCCACGTTACAGTCCGAGCCAGCTGAACTCCCCACGGCGACGTGAATCTCGGGGCCATTACGAGAGTAGATTTGTGAGCCAAAGCCGGATTCAAGTGTTTGGTTTGGATTTGACGCGCAGTATCCGCGTCCTGGAGAAGAGCCCTGCCCCTGCGCCCTGCACCGCCAGGGGACACGGGACGAGTGGGGGCAGGCCGGTGTCGAGAAGCCCTCGAGAGTCTCACACGGTGGAGTAGGAGGAGGAGGGCTGTCCAAAGAGGTGCACAGAGTCAAACTATTAGAGAGAGTTAAGTACCGGGGATGCGGAGTATTAAATCCTGAGGCGACTTCCACTTCCAGTTTCCCTTCCTCGTCACGACTGCAGAGTTCAGGATGAGTCCTGCCGTCCAGGTCCCGGTTTATGACCTCTTTTGCTCGGCAGCAGCCCGTGAACAGAGGGCTACTCTCCCCTTCGGCCGTTAACTCTTGATAGGAAGTCATTATCACCTCTCCCCTGCATAATCATTGGACGGGGTTGCACTTCATGCCCGGCCTCTCATGCATCCAAGTAACGCATGGTCAGGCGGCTGGACGACCGTGGGGACATTCCTCAGAGGAGAAACAGCAGTCCCTGATTGATGGAGATGACGTGCCCTCCTGGTCTCGGCCAATAGCTGGACATCTCTGTCATCAGAGAGGACAACACTGATTAAACCGAGTTGAGAAACTCACTTCAGGTCAACATTTTATTGCCATGTCCACGTAGGCCAGAGCAAAAACTGCAAAACTGCCTCAAAAGCAGCGAGGAAGTTCATCATCATCAGCAGCAGACAGTGAGGGCCTTCACGGGCCTCTCACCTATGCAGACAGGTAGGGTATGACGTCAGATGTGTTTGGATCACACAGAATTTTTGGCTTCAAGAGCAAGGGCGTAGGTTTTGTTTCAACACTGGGAGACATAAGAAATGGAAGGTTTTACCAGAGCATTAAACACTTAATTTTCTGCATTCTGGTGAATTTTACGCACCAGTTTGTGACTTCTCTGCATCAACTAATGGTGTAAATGATTTTACTCTTGTCAAAATAAAGCTACTTCCTTGTTTTTATTGTTTGGGACAAATGCACATGCTCTAAATATTGAGGAGGACATGTCCCCTGCATCCTCCCCGAAATCCACACCTATGCAAGAGTAATATATTTTAGGTCAAACTCTGGTATTTTGATTATTTTTCACGACAACAATAACCACATCTTTTTTTTTTCTCCAAAGCTGTATTAGCATAATATAGGCCTACATTGATGGTGCTAATGGATTATGCTAATCTGTGAAGGCTTCTTGAAAACCCGAGGCCCTCTTTAGCAAAGGGCTTAGGTCATGTGAAAGGCACACTTAATGGGTTCAGAGGTCGTGACAGCTGGTATTTAGAAGTTCAGTGGCAGCAGATTTGTAATTAGCCCCGAACAAATACAAAAAGCAGAGATCAAGAAGTTGTAAGTGACACAGAGGACGCGCTCATCTCCAGATTAAACTAGCTGCTCGGCTGGTTCAGCTGCTCCCTCCGCCCGAAAAAATAGAGCTTGTTCGATTATGCAGAGCTAAAAATAATCAGTTTATAGGACTGAGCTTTAGTTTCAACTCATCAGTGTGTTTACTCATTCATGAATCATCGCGTCATAGTTTCCAGGCGTGTGCAAACAACGCTACACGCTGCTATGCTTGAGAGACATAAACAAACAGAAAGAACAACCACTCAAACCACATGCACAGAGGAGGAATTCACCAGCACTGTTGAGCCCACACAGACCTATAAGCGTGCAATTAATGCAACTGGCTTTGGTACAAAGGACATGCAGCAGCACTGCAGCCCTGTGTTTTCACCTACAATGCAGAAGTGAAAATGTCAATGAGCTCCACGGTGCAGCACAAGTTTTTTTTTCCTGAAGTCTGGTGACCTACTTACACGTTTCACTGCGTCGCTCAGCCTTCACGCATGCAGTCAAAATAACAGGGATTAATAAAGCTAATAATATACTAACGTCCAGTTTTAATGTCTGACCTGCAGAGCGTTTAATTATTTTGATTTCAATTTGCAGAGAAGAGATTGCGTCTTAAATTTGCAAGAAATACAACAGTAGCAACACAACACATTTGTAATTTGCATTTTTTATTATCAGGCATGTTTCATGTGATTGGCTTAGCCTGTGTGCTAACTGTCACCGAAGCTGGAGCAATGAAGCTACATGAATCAAGGGCGTAGATTTATTTTATTTTATTAAATTATAAGCATTTTCCTGCATTATGGTGAATTTTTATGCACTGATTTGTGCTTTTTCTGCACCAATTTGTGGTGTAAATGTATTTAATTTTGCCAAAATAAACTTTATTGGAGTAGGGGCATGGTGTCATAATTATTGAGGGGGACGTGTCCCCTTTGTCCCCCCTGAAATCTACACCTATGCTACATTTTATAATTATTACTGAGTATTAATCTGTTTTTCCCCTGTTCCTGTATGCTCAGATCAGTCAATATAAATATATGCATGTTAACTGAAAGCCCTAACATGCAGGCGATTTTTATTATTATCATTATTGTTATTTTTCAGTCTCAGATAACAGCACAAAACCACCACCGTAACATTTAATAACAAGCCCAACTTAAAGCAACTATCTGCTCTTACCGTTTTATTCCAACAATATCTCCTATGTCTTTTAAGTCTGCAGTAATTACAAAATAATTCAGCGTAATGAACAACTTCTAACTGCATTCTTACAACACAGAAATATGGTCCCAGCTGTGGGAGTTAATGGGATTCTACAGGCAGCGATGTGCTGAATGACTGAGTGCAATATATCCCTTCTCTCCATGCATTTGCAGGGCGCACTGATCCATCTTCATGTCAGCTCGGAGGTTACTCAGGGTTCACGCGCTAGCTTGTTTCTCTCCTCCACACTCAATAAATAAATCTCTGCAGCTTTCTGTTTACCGCCTGAATATAAATTTGTTTGCAGTCGATCGAAGACCTGTGCGGAGGTATTAGAAATTGTATTTCTGTAATGGCTTTCAGCAGAGGGAGGGGGGAGGCGGGAAGGGGTTGCAGAGAGGGGAAAAGAAGAAGAAGAAGAAGAAGAAGAGAGGAGAAAAAAAAACAGGTGTGAGCAATCTCTGCTTTCCCGTATGCAAACGATTTTTTTTTTTTTTTTTTTAAAAACGCAGCAGCCCTATTACAGCCCTCGGACGTATTCAAATTACATTTAAAACAAGTAACCTTTTTATCATGTAGGACAAGAACAGCAATCCGCGTTTGTTCCCTAGAAGTGCCATATGTTTGATTAGCATATTTGAAGTGTTGTTCCACATCACTGCCCAGCACCTTTTTATGCAACAGAAGTTATATTATCACATTTAGCACACAACAAAAACAAGACATCTATAGCTGAGGCTTCTTCCTCTGGACAGCTTGTCTCCCCCTAAACCACAGATTCTGCATGAGGAATAAGAAAGAGAGTAATATCACAGTTTAGGTGAAATGGATCCACTTCTGAGTTTGATTCCCCTCCAACCAAATTCTGCAGACCAGAAATGTGAATATTCTGCCCCCCAACCCTGAAAACATCCTCTTAAGAGTCAGTGCAGGCGCTCTCCATCATGATCACTATTGTCTCTTTTGTTTTGACTGGAGGTGAGGCAAACATGGCAGCACTTGGGTGGCTGTGTCAGGAGGCAGGAGGAGGGAGAGAATATTGACTGATGCTAATTTGTTTTGCGTCCATGCTCTGATGTGTGTCAATAGGCAGTCGAGGCCCTGGGATCAGCACCGGCCGTGCTCGGATTACCACCGTGGTTTGAATTGAACCCTCATCCAGACGCTGCTGACACCATGCTACTGGCCGCCGTTGACACCAGAACCTTGTCTGGCCCTCCAACACTGTCAAGCCTCATTATATGTCAGCTCTTGACCCTCACAAGACATGGGAATTAACCAGTGCTGACAGACGACTGTCACCACCAACAAGAGAGGTCACTGGCGTTAATGCAGTTCCAGGAGGGGAAGATGACAGCCATCTTTGCCATGTTTATGGAGCTCGGGCTCATCAGTGTGGCATCATGATAGAGCTGTAATATGGCCCAGAGAAACAAAGAGAGAGAAAGGGTCAGAGCAGGGGCTGAGGCACAAGCAGACCGATATTCAAGTGTGGCACATTGACCGGTTGAAAGATGGCTATCTATGTGATTGATAGAGCATGTCTGCGTTTTTCAAATATTGACATTTTTGAAAAATAGTGATGTCAGAAGTGAGGTTTGGCTTAGTGTCTACCCAGCCCACACACCATTCAGGGAATAGCGCTTGAAAACAAAGAAATCCATCCACTCACGCTGCGAAATTCTAATAATTGTCTTTGCTTTTGTCGTCGAATCGTATGAAATCTGTCACAGTACATGAACCGTAATCATAAATCCAATACAACTACAGTGCAAATGGCCGGGGACATTACAGATAACTGCATTCTGCACAGGCTCAACAGTGTGACAATGAAGCAATACCTCGCTAATACCAGGACTTTTCAACAATAGCCTGTAGTATGTACTGCAGCGCTTCACAGCTTCAGTGAGCCAAGAGGCTTCGAGTCGGCAGAATCCCAAACATCATGACAACAAGCCATCAGTCATCTTCCCCCCAAGCTGCTGCGCACACTTGTGTGTTTCCGGAGTTCTTACTGTGGGAAATGAGCAGGGTTAAACATGAAACAGGAGGAAATGTTCATCATTGCAGCACACTCTGTAATATTCTCCCTCGTAAGGCATTGTTTTCGCTGCAGGGAAAGAGGAGTGGTTTTTAATTTTTTTTTTCTGCTTAAACATCCCCTGCTTGTTCACAATGCAGATCAGGAGTCTACTGTGCATGCTAATCATGCTTAATAGCAAAATGCTGATAGAAAAATGACACTGTATTAATAAAGCACTAATCTTCTGTTGAGGCTCAGGAAGGATTATAACTGCTGGTAAAAAAGGCAAAAAAATCAACCTTGGAAAAGTTGGAAAGTTAAAAGTTTAGATGAGGAAGGTACTGGATATTTACAATATCCAAATATTAGTTAAATGTCTTTTATTCCTCATTAACTACCTTTGAGATCATCTTATTTACACAGTCTGATAATCTGTCTCAACGTGTTCCTGCTCTTCACTGAAGCCATGTGATGTTTACACAGAGTGAAATATTCAAACCCAAGAATCCATTTCATGACTGCTCCCTGCATCAAATGGAAATATTCTGTCCTGTGCATCACTGTCTATACATCTCCCAAAATTCAGGGTGACGTATTCTGTATCTATTAGAACTTTTGCCTCTCCTGTAGAATTTAAAATAAAGTTATGTGATTAAAATGTCAATCTTGTTTTCTTGACACTGGCTTTACTTCCTTGGTGCCTAGAGTCCCACAGACCCAGCTGCCATATGTGTAAAAATAACATATGTAAAACAATGCAAATGTTGTTTTCTTTCTAATAGTATTATAAAGCCTAATATGTAGAAAAGCATTAAAGTGGTTCCAGTAGTCACAAACTGGGCTTGCACATGTGATGTGACCAAATATAGAAATGACCATGAAGCATTGTTGCTACACAAAATAAAGACATCTTTTATGTATGTGTTATTTGTTTTATTAGTGATGCTTAACAAAATATAAATTTCCTTTGTTTGTCAAAAAGTCATTCATAGGCAGAGATGTGTACAGTGTGAGATCCTACATTGTGATATTACTAATGTTTTGAATAAATTAGACCCTGAGATTTATTTGGGGTTGGAAGATGTAGTCACAGATGTCACAGATACAGAGCAGATACATTTTTTCATATTTTAAAGCCGGGTCTCTGAGACCCCAAAAACAACTTTAAAATCACAAGAGTTGTGAGGATTCAAGCACATAAAACTATGTTAAAGGGACGGTTCACTCCAAATTCAAAAATGCATATTGGTCCTCTTACCTGTAGTGCTATTTATCAGTCTAGTTTGTTTTGGTGTGAGTCGTTAAGTGTTGAAGATATCAGCTGTAGAGATGTTGACCTTCGCGTGAATATAATGGAACTAGGTGGCACTCAGCTTGTGGTGCTCAAAGTGCCAAAAAAATACATTTAAAAAACTCAACAGCAATGTCTCTTTCCAGGAAACATGACCAGGAAATTACACAGACCTTGTTGTGAGCAGTTTCATGTAGGAACAATTTTCCTTCTACTAAAATATACCCGTGAAATGTATCACTGCACACCATAACACAAACACATGAGCTCTCCCCCATAGCTAACCCTGAGTGGGCCCCTTTCTGGCAGCACAGAGCTGACCACTTTTGACATCTTTCATTGTGAGGTTACTTATACTGTCAAACGCACAACAAATTTGATCAAACTACTTTAGAACACTGGACATAGATATTGCGTTGAGTAACTGATGGAGCTTTTTTAACATTACAAACTGTTAAGTGTAACAACTGCTGTCAAGCTGTTGGAGGTACACTGGGCTCTGATGGTAACACGACTGGATGTCCGCCCCATCTGTAATATTGCCTATTCTTCCTGTTGATCCTGTCTTTACCATCAGGTAGGCCTTTTTCATTTGTTGCTGTTGATGTTGACGTCACTGTTGCCTTTTAAATCTTTGTGACTGGCTTTGACATATAAAACAAAGAAAACTTTGGACGAGCAAAGACTTTTTTTTGGTATTTGTTTTATTTTACACAAATATTGTCCCTGAAAATGCATTGCATGACGTTTTCACAGGAAATTTTATGTTTACATACTGTCTCTTTTTAAAAAACGAAAAAAACAATGCACTACATTGGTACAACACCGCGAATTGACGTTTTCGGTCAACTACAAAAGCACGTGGTAAGGTTTAGGACAAAAGAACAGGGTTTGGCTTTAGAATCTAACGGGACGCAAACATCGCTCTCTCTGGTGAAAGTCAGTGTTTGTTGGACCCATCCACCACCCCTTCCGCCTGCCTCAGTTGGATCTTTGCCACCTTATTTTCATTCTTGTCCTGCCGTGTTTTCCCCTGACGCTGCGGGGCGGCCTTAAACTATAACAGCAACCTGCTGCGTATCATGCCGACGTTAAAGGATGCCATTTTTTTGTTGGTTTCTAACACAACAATTCACTGCCCAAGCGCTGGATTTTGACAACTTCAGCCTGATACTGGCCTCAAAAGAGCGAGATGTAAACATTAATGGTGTCCTCCCCAGCTGAGCTGTAATGTTAGCTCAGTAGTGCGAGGGGAGCTAGCAGTAGATGCATGCTTCCTTCAGCACGACAATATGGTTGGCGGGTGTAGTTTTGTAGTAAGAAAACATTTATTACATGAAACTGCTCACAACAAGGTCTGTGGATTATCTCGAATAACCGGGTCATAATTTCTGGAAAGAGACATTGCTGTTGAGGTTTTCAAATGTATTTTTTGGAGCTCTGAGAACCACAAGCCAAGTGCCATCTAGTTCCACTATACTTAGAGAAGGCAGACATCTCTAAAGCTGATATTTTTCAACACTCGGCAACTCACACCAAAAAGATCTAGACTGATATGAAGCACAACAAGTAGGTGGGAAAAATACGTATTTTTGATTTGGGGGTGGACTGTCCCTTTAAACATGTTTGGGTCTCCAGGACCTTAAACAAAAAGTCACATCCAAAGATCACTATTCTGATATATTTCCAAAAATCCTTTCAGGTTGCTGATTTTTATTCTCACATTTTTCCACACAGTGTTTTTTTTATGCCAGAACAACCAAAAGCAAGTGTGCATTGATTAGATTCTGTGTGATAAAGCCGTTGGGTGTTAAATAATCCTTGGGTGATCGATAATGGTCAACATGTGACATTTAGCAGGGTGACTGTTGTGATTACAAGTTCATTCATTTAACCGGAGCTCCTCAGAGGGAAAAGTGAGCTCCAGCAGGTGACTCTCTCTCTCTCTCTCTCACTGTGCACAGTGCCGCTCACCACAGCCGAAACAGTTTCATCACCAACTTACCTTTTTATTGTCACCGATCATCCTTAACTGGGAAGCATTTAAAATGTCATTGATCTTGATAATGCCGTGCCGTAATATGACAGTAACAGTTGTATGAAATTCAGGAAGTCAAATTTCCAAGATTGATGAGTCGTAGCAGTTGAGTTATAATCCATCTACCTGAGTAATGCTCAGGCTCTGTTCCACATGAAGGAGCAGACAAATAAATAAAACCCATAAAGGTGACACAGGAAATTGATACTTAACAATCATCTTGAGCAACAAGCACCTGGAGAGACTGGTGGGCAGCAGTTACTACTGTGGAGGGAAAAGGCTGAGAAGGTTAATAGGTCATAAAAAGAACAAAACCTCCTAAAGGCCAGGCATAAAAGTTCAGGCTTTTGCTCAACAATGGACCGAAGTATCGCACCCAACAGTCACACAATGGGAAGGTTTTATTTTATTATTTTCACCGTACAAATCATTCAATTATCAAACACATTGATTTAAAAGTTCAACTGAAAATTAGTCCCAAATTGGTTATAATCTTGAATACTGCGTTCATCATAATTCTTTTGTTACAGTAGATGTTGCAGTCTGGTCCATGAGGTTGTGTCAAAACTATGTGAGACACCAGAAATGTAAAACAAAATTATGGATTTATTAATCTACAACAGCAGTCTTTTTGTTTTGTTGTGAACTTGGGACACATTGGACCACTATGGAAACAGGTTACAGCAACTTTTGGTGTCTGTATCCTACAGTAAGCCAAGTTTTCATTTTAATTTCAAACTCTCAGAATACAGCGAGGTGCAGTCGAGTGTGAGCGTCAGTGCAAGTCCATCAAAACTCTCCAGTACATTGTGAGTCAGGATGGTGTCTCAGTTTTTTCACAGTGTCTTTATATAAAATTCAATGATCAGTCTCATGACCTTTAAGTCAGCAGAGGTGTGGACTCGAGTCACTTGACTTGCAAGTCAGACTCAAGTCACAAATTTGATAACTTTAGACTCGACTGGACAAATCAAATAAGACTTGCAACTCCACTTGGACTTGAACACCAGTGACTTGTGACTTTACTTGGACTTCAAAATACCCACTTGACACCTTCACCCAGGCCCAAAGATTAAAAAGTATGTTCTTTCAAAAGGGTGCTACAAATCAGTTAGTTTCCCTTCATTTCCTATGATTCCACTAACAAAAACGCTATTCATTCCCAGGAAGCTGACAATGAATTCCTCAGATCCAGTTTGCTTGAACCCATCTGACAACATCCAGTTGGGTTGCAAGAGAAAACCATGAAAAACTAATGTTACGTTGCTGAGCACCAGTTGGGAAAAAAATTATACCAAACATAATTTTGTTTATATACAAAAACTGGGTGGTCATAAAAAAAAAAAAAAAGTTGCAGTTTGCAAATGTGCAAGTCAAAAATTACAGACGGAGACACAACAACTTCCAATAAACTCCTTTTAACAAAGTAATTAAAAAATCCAAACGCTTTTTGTTAATTTTATAGCCTATATTATTGCTCTGTTGTTAGAATGGGATTCACTGAAGAGCACAATATGAATTATTCAGGACTCAAAACTCAAATGTAGGACTTGGGACTTGAATTGGAACTTGAGTGCAAGGACCTGAGACTTACTTGTGACTCGCATAAGAATGACTTGGTCCCACCTCTGTAAATCATCATTTACCAAGTATGTAAAAGAGCATTAACAACATCTTTTCAAAATATTTTGTATAAAACACCACATTTCCTCCTGCTGGATGCAGGCATTTACAAGAAAATATAAGTTAGCATAAATACAAAACACACAATACTACAACTGACCTTTCAAAATTTTCTTAATATTCAAATACAGTCTTTCATGACAAGTAAATGAGTAAAGAATTTGATTTATTTCCTGCTAAATTCTTTTTGTATAAACTATGGTGAACTGGAGAAGAGTTGTGTGACTTTGATTTTTTTAATCTTTTGTTCAAGTAACAAGGCCTATATATATATATTGCTTCATGACAGAATAAACCCAAATGTAACCTCAACAGTGACTGTGTTTTGAAGACTATCGGTGAATGCATGCAATGTTGTGTTTTTTCCCCTGTGATTGATTTCTTTAAATATGCCTTATATTCCAAATGTGTTCAAGTGAGTTTATACACATAAACTGTTACATTAGATGCCATTTTATGGATTCATGTTTGGTGTCATGATGTTTTCCTTTAATAAAAAAGTCCTTTGTATTAAAATATTTCACTGCATGCCTGCACCACCTTGAAGAGGAACTATGCCTATTTTCAAAATTCATGCGTGTTATTCGTTATTATTATATGTGGTATGAGACAGTCCAAAAATATTAGTAAATATGGATAATTCTCCCAAAAC